ATTGCGAAGCCGTCTCCAGTTTTACAGCAGATGATTGCCAAACATTAGTTGAGAAGGCGATGTAACGCAGCGGTGATTTGCTGCTATTTGGTTTCGTTGATTTTTAATAGTAGGTAACTTTTTTGAATTTGATATTCTTTCTTTCTTACAAAAAATTTAGTATTTTAGGCTAATATTACATTTGGTATCAGAAATACATTTTAGTTTTTATACGTTTCCGCTAATCTGACAACATTCATAAAAAATGTTGTTTTGATAGTTAGGCCAACTTCACAGAGACAAGGCTCTTAAACACATTTTATATCCGTCATATCTAAGCCGATGCGAGCATCTTGCTTTTGAATAATACTCGCCTACGGCTGACGTGCCATGTCCGAAAATAACGCTTGATATATGTTTTCCATAAATGGGCAGATTAACACAATATTCTTTGAAGAGACTCTTTAAGAATTGAAGCTATGTGTTATTGGTGTTGTGATCGAATGAGCATGTGATAAATTGTCATTTTCAGGACCAACCATCAAAAAATTACATTTAAAGAGTGCAAAAATGCAATATGTCGTCCCTAAGAAAAATAAAGTTCATGATTGAGGATAAGAGACGAAACGTTGTATTCAAATTCTAATCATGCTAACTTAGAAAACTGTGTTATTATATCTCCGGAAATACTCTGAATTGCAAAACTGTCAGAGTGTTTTTTTTCTTAGTTCCCTAAATACACAACCTTACTCCCATTCAATCGGTTTCGTATCTCTTACCGCTTCGGAGATCCCAATTGTGAGAGTATTTGAAACAACCGATACAGTGAGTGCGGGTTGGAATCCCGGCCCAGTAGAAATTTTTCTCTTGGCTATGGATGTTGCGATTGTCCGTAGGTGGTAGCCGGTCTGTGACTGTCGAACGTGGAGGTACCACCCGGCGGAGCTCGTAGGCGGAGCCAGAATGGGTGCATGTTTCATGCACACGTGTTCCCTCGCCAGAGCCCGTGTGGCATTCCCCCTTTCCCTTGTACCCCCCTATAGCCCCACGGTACCCAATGGGTGTTTAGGCCTTAGGCCGTCGTGGTAGTTGGAGTATAAATAAAACAAAAAAAAATGATTTGTTGTGATTAGAATTCTTTTGTGGATAGTAAGCACTGAATCGGTAATTTTTCTTTTTGATCTTAGTCATTGGCAGCTGTAGAGAACTATTTCATATAGGTCCTTTAATATTTTTCGAGTATCTCAACGATTTCAACTTTGTGACTGATTATATATCTTCCAATATACAAAACCACTTAAGGCATACTTCACAAAATTTGAGCATACTGACTACAACGTTATAGATATGATATTTATATGTATGTAACAAACTAAAGTTCTATATATTTTTTTTTTATTTTAAGCTGGCCACCAAAACTTTTAGGCCGGTATAAGACGTTTGGGGTAAAGTATATAATATGAATTTTAATTTGATTTTAAAACTTCTGAAATTCCTTCTTTCAGAAGAACTTATAGTATAGACAAGGGGAAAAACATTATGTCATTGAATGTTAGCTAAGAATAGACCAAAAAGTCCTCTTTTAGTCTATACCCCCATATAGACTAATATCTAGGCCATGTGAAGATTCAAGGGAGTGGATCCTTAGATGACAAATGACCTTATGGACATGTCTACATTCCAAGATGTGTGGCAAAGAACTTAAAAAAAACAAAAACTAAAATATCTCCGAAAGTACATGGCCGATTTTTAAGTCTGTATGGTTTGTTGTTTTGCAAAAAATCCATGTTACAATTTGCAAACGTCTCAACGCGGTACTTAAAACGATATGTTAAAGATGTAAAAATAAAGTCTCACATTTACGGAGATTATCAAACCTCGATAGGATCTTTCAGTTTATTGCCTTAAGGTAGGTAGATATATGTCGGATTATCTGTATTGCTTTGAATGAGGTTTGAGAGATTTGGTATTTGTTGGATATTTTCTGTGATTTATGTATAGGGTTTGCTAATCTTTTGATATGCTTAATGGTACGAAAATCAATGTATCTGACCTTCTAATCAAAATTCACTGCCAAAATCGAATCGCAGGGTTTATTCTTTGGAACGATCACAACAAAAATACTATATCTAAATATTTATGGTATCATTTTCATTGAATTAATCCATAATTTTCAAGGATGCTAGTTCCTACTTTTCTAAAGTTTTACTGCTTAAAAATAGCAATCATTGTTCCTTGAGACTTACAAGCTCATGGCTTAGTTGCCTGATCTAAAGTAGTACATATACTAGAGATACTAGAGATAGTCTCGTTACGCTGACATTTGATTAACCTTTCACAGTGATACATTTATATATACATGTACTTTTTACTACGATTGCAGAACTTTTTCGATATAGGTCAGATACATAGAATCGTTCTTATAGATCTAGAAAATGAAGTTTTTTAATCGTCCTTATCTACACATTTTTCTTTTCTGCGGTTTCATTAATTTTTTACGCTTACAAATGATACGTGAAAAAATATTTTAAAGACCCTGTATGTAGTTGTATAGAAAACTTCATTTTCTTGAAGCTACTAACATTCAAACAAACAATATTGAATAACGCAGTCGTCAAAATTGAGGATGAACGTATTGAAGAAACAACTAGTCAACTCGAAATCTGATAGACAAGTCGAATTAGGGTTTGATTTGCGCAATAGAGAATTGAATCAGTCTGGAATTTTCCACAAGAAGTCCTACTAGTGAAAGCTAAGATAAACAAAGTAGGAGGAAAAATAAAAATGTCCCTGGTAATGGGTAACGTATTTTTCAATATATACATATACATATTATTTATCCCAGTCAATTCTAGTTGTTAAGAGCAATATTTTATGCATTTTTTTATTTTTTATTAACACATTCTACAGCTTCCGTTCCAGGTTTCAGACACCTATTTACTATTCCATAATATTTCCTAAACACATTACATACATTTTTGGAAGGTCACTTTCAACATTAAATAAAAGGCAGCTCGTAGGCACAACTACATAGTCGAACACTTGCCTACAAGTTTCGCTAGGTTTCGCTTACGGATTATTTTAGAATTAATTGTCTAAACGCCTGCCATATATAAACAAGCCGCCACTTTTTAATGTATGAATACATTTTACAATAACAAATACAACCGATTTAATGATCATATAACAATTTTACCAAATTAAAAGTATGTAAAAAAGACGGTAATCTTCCTACAGTTTTACAACGTCCGTGTTGTCAATATGCTGTAATTCCATTTGTCAATTAATTTCTCGAAAATTGTTTTTGACCAAACAAAATAGCAAGCTAGTTTGACTCTGTTGTAGAAAATAGATAGACGGACTTAACAACGGAATTAAACTCTTGAAAGTGAATGAAAAGGACTTTCGTCTAGAGATGCAAAACATTTTGCTGGGTAGCTTTTATTATTAAGCGTGAACATTAGAAAAATCCCTTTTTCGCATATATTAAAAAAAGTATGAAGTGGACTACAGAAGAGTTGCAATGGCACCTCATATGTCCAGTTAACTGTAGTGACTATGTCGCTGGACACAGTTTGTAAAAATGGCCATAACCTCAAAAAATTTAGAGACGATTATAAATGTCTAGAAAATGTTGATCTTTTTGTCGAGCTCTTTCCTGGATGTTTTCCACTATGAAGGGTTTAAGTTTTATCTTATTATCTGTTGCGCTTTATTGGTAGAAAGTTTCAAAATTGGGGATTTTTCAAAATAAAACATTAACTGCTAACGGAGAACCGTTTCATTTTTAAGGCATTCCCATTGTCATTCTTCTAAAATAGTTCTACCGATACTTCATAGTTTTTTGAATATATAGCAGAAATCTTTTTTAGCTTGGCGATAAATAAAAAAGTTACCCGCGTTGATTTTTTATATCTCTAGATGAAGAACCTATTTATTTACCCACAATTTTTGGTGTCTACACAATTCTTGTTCTGTTAGTGTTAGTGTTAGTATTTTGTAGTTTATCATAAATATACGATCTCGAATTTCCGGGGTTCCAAAGTGGTGATCATAACTTATTGAATTAAACTAGAATCTGAAAAAGTTCTCTCAATTTTAACGACATCCTTTCACATGGGGTATGTAATAGAGAACAACATTTATCTAAACTGCATTTCCAAAATCTGTACACATGCGCACATTCACTACATGCCGTTAAACTGCAATTATTATTGTCTTTATATTTTTTCATATATAGATATTTAAAAATTTGTCGCTTTTTCAAAATATATATTTTGAAAAAATCACCGTTTCCCTTCTACAACATTTGGTATTGAAAATACACCCAAAATTACATCTACTTTTTCTTTTTATAAATTATATAAAAAAATTTAACTATTAGCTTATCTGACTTTTCATCATATAAAAACGGTATCTACTATGTCAAAGAAAATGATATACATGCATACAGAATATGTCCTGACATGAGCTAATTAATACGTTAGGGAACTCGGATAACTTTATAAGCCCTACATCACGAGTACCTGGCAACAATGAATCGTGTGTAATACTTGCGTGTAGCGTTTTTTTTTTGTATGCAAATGAACTTTTCTAAATAAAAGGGTTGTTAGCAAGTGCCAAAACAATCTATTGCGTACAAAAACGAAACAAAATACGGCTCTGTCTACCTGGCGTTGACGGATCCGACAAAATTATATGACAAAATTGTCTATATAGGGAATTATGAAATATTACTAGATCGTCAGCTGTTGCTCTACCGTAATGGATATTCGTGGAAAAGACAATAACTACCACAGTTTTTTTATATTTATGCCTGAAGGTCTTTGCTCACTATACTATATCATATTGACCGTCATCTATATTTGTCAAAATGCTCAATTTTGCATACTTTTGTTGCAATTAGTTAAAACAGCAATAATTTCAATGGAAGTCAACAAAGGAAACCAGTCTTCCATGCTTCATATTCGTGTCCATTGGCCTTGTCTCTTTAAATTTGCTTGATCTGCATTACCGGTTACCTCAGCACATTTTACCACCAAAACAGCGATCTGTGAGCCTTTGGTTTGGTGGCCATTTAAGAAGAATCCGTGGTTAAGCGCCATTTTGTTGGTAAGATCAGTCTATCTCTCTCTAATTTGATCGCCTTGTCTAACTGTCTTCTCTTGGATAACTGCTTTGGTCTGCCTGTGCCACGTAGCGTGGCATCAGCAGCAAAGTTACTCTATGTCCATGACATGATCCTAGTATGATATGGTATAGTGGAAGAAAACCTTCATCCAAGATTTAGCTCTTGAATGATGGGTATACTTTTTACACTACAGTGTTTTTGTTTAAATCGTCTTATGCATCATGTCATAGCGACATATTCTGTACAACTTTACAATTCTCTTAATGTCTAACTGATATAAATGTACTACCGTCGATCATCTTATAGTTTTGAAATTTATTAACGACCTAATTACATGTACGCATCCAATCACGACAGGAAAGCAATGATGCAACTGGCGAGGCTCAGTAACAATACAAGTGTATCCGTAGACAAGAACGCTGCACCGCCGCATATACGGATCTCCACTTCCTGGAAATTCATTCAAAATTAATTGAATCGGTCATGTAAAAAATCATTCATATCGTATGCTTATTTTGATGAAAACGTTTTCTTACGAGGGTGGTCCCAGAAGTACCAGGCCTGACCTAGAGATGGCGATAGTTGTTTTTAAAACTATCATTGTATTAGAAAGTATGCAAAATATAAAGCATATGTGTCAAGTTTGAAGACGCCACCTTATTTAGAATTTGTTTGGCAGCCATCAATGCTGAACGTTTTCAGTGAATTTGTGAAAATGGAGAAAATTGGTCATCGTTATGTGGTACAATACTTTTATTTCAAAGGCCTCAGCCCAACCAACATAAAATCTGAACTGGATTCTACTCTGGGTGAGTCTGCTCCTTCGTTTACAACAGTAAAATATTGGGTAGCAGAGTTTAAACGAGGCCGTATGAGCTGCCAAGACGAGCACCGCAGTGGTCGACCAAATGAGGTAACGACTCCAGAAATGGTGAAGAAAATTCACAAAGCGGTACTGAATGATCGTCGACTGAAAGGGCGCGAGCTAGCAGACATAGTAGGCATTTCAAAAAGTGCGGTCATCGCATATTATCTTTAAATTTGGTCATGAGAAAGCTGTGTGCAAGATGGGTGCCGCGATAGCCCCAATCGAGCAAAAACAGTGTCGTGAAGATGTTTCAATTGAGTGTTTAGCGAAGTTTCACACCAACAAAGCAGAACTTTTGCGTCGTTTCATAACCATGGACAACCGGCTCCAAAGAAGGCCAAGACCGTTTCATCTGCAGGCAAGGTTACGACGTCGGTTTTTTGGGATGCGCGTGGGATAATTTTCATTGACTATCTTGAAAAAGGTAAAACTAGCGAGTATTATGCCAACTTATTGCAACGTTTGAGCGATGAAATCAAGCAAAAACGGTTGCATTTGATTATCTCCACAGGCAGCAGCGGTGGCCGCAGTAGTAGACTCTTCGGTCTCCTGAGCAGTCGCCGTGCGCTGTGCGGGTTCGAGTCCCGTCCCAGGAGAAATTTTTCTCTTGGCTATGGATGTTGTGATGGTCTCTGACTGTCGAACGCGGAGATACCACCCGGCGGTTCTCGTAGGCGGAGCCAGAATGTGTGCATGTTGCATGCACACGTGTTCCCTCGCCAGAGTCCGTGTCGCGTCCCCCCTTTCCCATGTATCCCCCTATAGCCCCACGGTACCCAATGGGTGCTTAGGCCTTAGGCCTTCGTGGTAGTTGGAGTATAAAAAAAAAGAAGAAAGTGTTGTTTCATCAAGACAATGCACCAGTTCACAAATCCGTTATTGCAATGGCCAAAATTAACGAATTAAAGTTTGAATTGCTACCTCATGCACCCTATTCACCAGAACTTATTGAACATCGCTGGAAAAAGTGTATAGAGCTAAAAGGAGATTATGTTGAAAAATAAATACATTTTTTACAAAAATTTTGTTTTCTTCGTTGGGTCGGGTACTTCTGGGACCACCCTCGTAAATATAGATGCGTAGTTAAGTATAATCACGAAAAACATTTCCGTCAGTCTGTCTGTCTGTTTTTCGGTCTGTCGGTCTGTCCGCTAATCTTATAACCCTATTAACACTAGAAACACTGAAACTTAGTATATACCTGTATTGTCCCAAAACAGTCTTAATGACTGGATTGTGCAAAAAAATAATGCGTAAAGAAATTTGTTTAAAATTAGTTTTTAATAGTTTATATTACCTATTCACAGTCATACAACAAGTTACTAGTAACTATTAGCAATAAAAAAAAATACTTCACTTGAAAAAAAAAAATTTATGTATTATTTGTATATTTTAAGAAAATGAACTGGAAATCTTTTTATGTGCCGATTTTCCGCAAATATCATTTTGACATTTTTCACATATATTATTTGTTTTGTTATTGCGGTAAAGTCCTACTTGACAAATTTTTCTTTTGATAGAATATGTTGTATTTGATGATGTTGCAGTTGATCTTTGGGTTAAAATTTTCCAAGTCTAATCCAATTTCGGCGCACTAATTCAAATACATCTCCTTCCTACTGTGAGAGAAGCCGCTCGCGAATTTTGCCCTGCTTCTCCGTACGCTAAAACAATGTCCACTAACTCCTCATTAGTGTACACATATGCCATTTTTATTAATAAGCACATAAACTCGCAAAATACTTTCTTATTTAACTTCACAAAAATAGACCGTTCTTCATTCAGATCACCCACGATACAGCTTAAACCTTATTTACACGTTCTTATCAGTATGAAAAAAATTTCTGGTACTTTGTTTTCGTCAGTTGTTTGGTAAAACATTTGATACAATAAATTATTAATGCATGTTCTAATATCAAGACCATGAACGCAAAATACAGATCTTTATTTTTTAAATTATATTGAAAGTTAATTTCTGTAGGATTCTTATTACATTTTTTTTTTGATAAATTAACTTCTTTCGTAATGGTGCATATGTGGTTAAAATTTGTCGGATAAGTTGTGAAACACCCTGTATATATATGTATATACATGTATATGGTTTATCATACTTATTTTCATTAGTGTGGCCAAACATTTAAAGTTTGTGTGTCATTTACTCATGTGTTTCCGAGTTCGAGCCTACTTCAAGTTTTTGACTAAAGTAATAAAAACAAGTTTAACAAACCATTTAAAAAAAATGCAACTTTATTTGATAGCATAGTTCTGAGACACCTTGAATTAAAGAAAGGATTAGATGGAAAACTCCAAATTAGACTCTATAACTTTTATATACAACTTTTTTTTTCTAGAGGGTCATATAAAAATGTTGGATTACATTTCCTAGGCATTTGGCGTGGAAAGTAATTGTACGAACCTCTGGATGATAGTTTATACACTTTGGTGGCCTCCTTCTGTACAGACTATCCTTTGGCTTATGCAGACAACCACCATTCTTTGACTCATAACTGACTTCTTGTGGCACGATACTCAGCTGCTTGCTACCACATGGACATGCGGTATCCACCACCAGAAGAATAAGGTTGCTATGTGGTATCTTCTGGACGCTGAATGGTCTGAAAAATTGGTGATATAAGATTTTGCAGTAAAACATTTACTATCTAATAAAAACAGTCATATCCGCCCTACGGAGCGGGGCCGTGGCAAATGCTTGTTCCGGAAGTTGTTGTATCCAGTATACAATTTCTTCCCGTTCAAGTGATTGTACATGCGTTAAGGAATACCTCAGTACCGATTGCCGGGTGGCGGTACAAGTCCGCCAACGGGCCACTTTAGGTCTATTTAATATCATTAACACGTAAAACGTAGGTGGTAGACAAGGAGCCGTCGACCGAGGCGGTACCACCTGCTAGCTTTTCTCAGGGTATCCCATTTGACATATTTTACATAAAGTTCGATATCACAGAAATAGTTAGATTGAGGTATAGACTGTACATGAAATACAGTGTTCCAATTAAAATAATCAAGTTGATATCTACGATACAACCGGAAGAGCCACCACTCTGGAAATATTTTAATCGAAATGCTACCATAATATATACTATAACCACATATTCTCATAACGGTCTTCTTTTTGAGAAACCGATAGCTCCAGTTCTACGTGGGATACTTTGTGCTCCCTACCTTTCACAGCCGCTGTTGTGACAGTTGGTTAACTTCCCTTTCAGCGGATTACTTTGCCCACTTGTATTCAACTTCTCTGGTTGTAACACATATAGATCCACCTTTCTGTCACACGGTTTTACCCCAAATGGCCCGAATGTTACATCCTCCAAAGGATCCGATTCATACGTCGGGATGAATGGTTGCGAGAAAGTGTTTGTAGGAGATGACAACTGGGGTGTTTCACCAAGATCATCTCCATTAGCGTAGTTGTCTATTTCATAGTCCGAGTAAACTAGGTCATCTGAAAAAACAGTTATTAATACAGGGTTAATCAAGACGTTAGCGATCCTTAGAGCAGTAAAATCTCAAAAAGTTCATATAAACTAAGTGGTCCCCTGCAAAAATAAGGGTGCTGTGTATCCCATGCTAGTGATGGCACTGGCAAATGGTGTCTACTTATCGGTCTCCCGTCCCAAAAGAATCTTTTCTATTGACCAGAGACGTTTTGATTGTCCGCAGGTGGTGGACTGTCAAACGTGGAGGTACCACCCGGCGGTTCTCTAAGACAGGGCCAAAATGTGTGCATGTCACATGTATACGCCTTCCCTCGCTAGACGTCCCCCATTTCTCCTGTTATACTTCTCCCACTACGTAAATAATGGGAATGCGCATGTACTTGACAAATTGAAGTATTTGAAAATAAATGGAAAACGATGATGATGTTTCAACGTGTCTTCAATTTTTATCGGATACTATCATGTAGCGGTAGGGTACATACTCTACGCACCGTTCTGTGATGCAGACATTACGCCAGCTTTATCCGACAGTATTGCCCGATGTTAAGGAAATTATCAGATATGAGATATTTCAAAGTCTAATCAAATCAAATGTGGTAATATATTTAAGTTTATAGTGAAAAACATTCTACACATAACTCGGTGGAGAAAGCCGTTGTGTTCTTGCAAATTATATTTATGCTATGCGCTCCAGGATATAAAAGTGCTCGGCCATTAATGGCATGCATACTTTTCGACCAAGTAACGTAATGTACTATTTTTGACCAATACATGGATCTGTTGATCATTATTACAACGTATATTGAGGTGACATCTTTTTAACGAACATAAGTAAAAACGTAATGCCCAAAACCTTTTAAGCGAAATCATTATGCTAAACATGAAATGTCTTGGGTACAAGGCATTTTCGCACTCATATTTACATGAACTTTTTTCTATTTTAACCTGCTTTATCTGTCCATTTCCGCAACAACACATTGTAAAACCCTGTATAGTTTGCAAAATCTAAACTTAAAGCGCGTTCCTACTGAATCAGCTCTTCAGATCGCTTCAGTCTCTATCAAAAACTTCTGATAATTACCGTCATCATCATTTTGGGTGTACATCAAGGCAGTACCATAAGCATTGTTGAGTTGCGAGAAGAAAAATAGTAGACTCTTCATAATTATTCCCAGAAGCAACTTTGCTGGGGCGAAGAGCTGAAAATTTTTATAGATTACTATAACAGCTGTATTACAGTTAATACCAAAACAAGTAAAATAAGTATTTCTCAAGCAAGATTCAAATCTATAATTTATAAAAGTGTTCTGAGTCAATAACCTTCCGCCGCTATGCTGCAGGGATTCCGTACGGATCTTGGCAACCGCTAACCCATTATTGAGTGATGGGGTATATATACAATGGCTGAACCCTTGGTTCCACTCCTGTACCTTTGCAATAAAGCAACATTTGATTTAAATGTTTTATTTTTCTATTTAATCCTTTCTAACATCAATGACATTGCTTAACCAGTTCCCCAGTATTTCAAGAGACTCCTGGTATAATAGGAAGAGCATTGATCTACGAGTATTTACCTCATCCTTCAATGGCAGGAATCAAGTCCGGCCCAGAAACTTTTTTGATGTCGAGCGACAAGAGCACCCATCTTACGGTCTTATGTTTACTTCTCGCATTGTGTAGGGCAGGCCTCTCCAACTCAGGTACCACCAGCGCAGCGCCGAGCACCGCTCGCAGCACAGTGCTGCTGGGTGACTCCGTGAAGGTGGGGGAGGGATTAGGCAGCGGCATACGCATCGCGAATAGAAATGACCCGGGAGCTGGTGGCATTGAGTATACCCTCATCGCGGATTCGACTAAATTTAGTAATAATATGTAGTTTTTAAATAAATGGACAAGAAGAGCTCATCCTGCCAGAAGTACCTGTCATATTGACTTAAAGATACAGCGTGACAAGAGAATTTCACCGAATCCAATGAAGCCTACAAGGTTTGATGGAAATTTTAGGCTCATTTGGAAAAACATGGTATGAAAAACTGATTTCCGACAGAAGTTTCTGTCGTACCGACTGAGAGCTATAGCAGGCAATGCAAATAGACAAAAATAATACATCCTGTTTGTATGCTTCATGCTTGCATTTAAAAGCTCATTTGAGTCAGTCAGTTTGACACCAGGCTTCTAGATGTTTGAAAGTATATGTAAAATGAATATGAAACCTCATGACCGTTGATATACGTATAGGTTATGGTGAAATCCTACCGTCACGTTGTATCTTCAAGTTGATATGACAGGTACTTTCATCGGCATACCAAGCCCTATTTGTTCATTTACTTAAAAACTACATATTATTACTAAGTTTAGTCGAATCTGCGATAAGATTTAATTTCGCCGGCTCCCAGCCCCAACGAAAAATTAGTGGAGTGACATTCGTATTGACATTTGAATTGGTCTGATCGAGTCAACGCGCGGGTGATAAAATAATGTTAATAATTTCGACGTAAACACATTTATTCTTAAGATGATCGTTGACAGCGTTTCGATTCAACAAGTCTTCTAATATTTGGTACAGTGGCTTGAGCAGTGGAAATTCCGAGTACCGCCTCTAAGGACACATCAGACAAAGATCTGTTTTTAGTTTTGTTCAAATTCATTAAAGAAAACATCTGCTCGCACAAGTACGTTGTACCGAACATGGAGCAAGGCCAGTGCAAGAATTTTGGGAAAATCTTGCTGCTTAACACCTTGATAAAACGAGATTAAGTCACTATTGTAGTGGTAGTATCTATCCTTAAGGATCGTATCGCGTTGAAGCTTAATCAGCTCCATTTGGAACTGCGGCGGTTCTGTTTCAAAAAGCACTGAAGATGGCGTCGTAAAAATCTCATTTGCATAAACATCTCAACGTCGTCAATGATTTCAAAAAAAATCTTAAACACTTTTTCGCAGCTTAACCAGCGCGTAACACAATAAAAGGGTAAGTTGCTTCCAGGTCTTTTAAAAATACTTCAAACTGCCGTGGTTGAGACCTTGCTTTCTGCAGAAATTGACAGATGTTATTACTACATCCATAATAGATTTGAAATTACGGAAGGTTTTTGCACATAGTTGTTCCTAACATTGCGGGCGCTCCATCAGTAAAAACACTACGCAAACTATTGAGTAGTATACCCATGTCATTCATTGTGTATTCTACAGCATATATAATAATATAACTCAAAAGCAAGCACAATTTGATGCAAATAGATGTTTGTGACATAACCTCAAAATAGGGTTCTGACACGGAGAAGTAGAAAACTATGACAATCAAGGAGGTGATAAAGGCGCCCTACAATTGTAGGGACGACTCACGATACGGGCCTAAGTGCTCGAGTTGGAGAGGCGTGGTGTAGGGAATGCATTAAATCGATGGCACTCGGGCGTTGGGGGGACTAATTAAGGAAATATAGCAATATAACGAGTGTTTTATCAAAATTAAACCCTTTTACTCATGTCTAGCTGTACATAAAATTTTATTCAAATCAAATGTGTTAGTGAGTGTTCTATTTACATTATCACTGGGGGCCTCGAGGCCTAGTGGTAAGCGCGTCGAGCTAATAATAGGTCGATCCAAGGCCCGCAGGTTCGAATCTCTGCCTCGAAAGTTAATTCCGAGCCATGCGTGTTCTGTTGTGTGTTGCCTATATCACGCATCAGATCGATGCGAGACAACAGAGCTCGTTAAGTGTAGGAAGAGATATGAGGATTTGCTGGGATTGCGCACACGAGAGACGGAGAACGCATTCGGAGCAAAAAAGATGGCACGTACAATACGTGCCATTCGATCTCGAGTGGTACAGTTTGCGTCCTAAATTAATCGAATAACTTCAATAACGGAATACGTATTATGCGAAGCCTGCCTTGTATAATCGAAATTGTTAATAATTTCAATCAATAAACAATCAAATGAAAAGTAAGGTCAGAAAATTAACATTGTAGTAGATACAGTTGGCAATATTTTAAAGATTTATGAAGTTTCATAGAGGATCAAGTCCTGAAAGTTCGGAATCGGAATCTGAGCTACTACTCTTAAATCTTCGGATTCGTTATCGCTATCTTCGTCTAGGTTTATTATTATTTGATCCACAACTAAGTCGAGTGCTGGTTCCATTTCCATATACTGCTTCTCAAAACCTTTGGCATGCTCACATCGCTTTTTCCATTCTTCTGTGAGATAAGACGAGAAAAAGTCGTCGCAAAGTTTGTAGACAGTCTTGAGATTAAGATCTACATTTCTCTCAGTCACATATTGTTTCAAAGATGCCCATACCAACTCAATTGGGTTCAAGTCAGGGTGATATGGTGGCAATCTCAATACAGAATGACCTTACCCGACTTACTATTGGATTTAAATTTCAGATATGCATTTTCCACGAAACCATTTTCACTACCAACATGCACAATAATAAATCCTTATCCTTTTAAAACTGGTCGGTGAAGGCCCTCATTGGCTCCAACTCTTTTCATGCGTATGTGATGTATGGATGTATGTTTCGTCCATATAAATTATACGACGATTTTTTTCTCTATATTCCTTCATCCCTCTCAGAAAATTTCTCCTGAAATGCTGAATCTCTGGTTTCTCCATAAGAAGTCTTCTATTAGTTCTATCCTTCCTCCAACGAAATCCCTTTGTCCTCATCACTTTCATGTGATCCAGTGTATTGTGTTCTTGAACAAATTTCCTGTGTATGCGCAGCAAAGCTGGGACCTTCTTTTCCGTTATGTAAAAATTCATTATAGATCGACGAAGAAATCCTCTAGCAAAGTCGTCAAAATCAGATTTTGGAGTGCCTCTTCGTCTTTTTTTGTTTGGTGTCGAAAAAGATATCGAAGCACCCTCTTTAACAGATTTCATTTTCGCGAGAGATCCTCCTAATAGTCGATAGACTAACTCCCGTGGCCATGGCTGCACGCTCCTAAACTTTCTTCAAATCTTTAAGAGGTTTATTTCATTCTGCTTCTCGTTGCATAAAGAATATAACATTTGCTACAACCTCCCTAGTTGATCCTTATAAAACTTAACTTTGTAATTTGGATTTAAAATCCATTAGTAAATCTCTTAGCACACCAAGGAATAAATGGCGAAAATTAATAGCGTAATTGTAAATATTCAACTCAGGAATTCGTAACAATACATACAATTTACAGATAATAAGTAATAAAGTTGTTTCACTGCCTAACAATTTTGCTTCTGACTGTACGCTAACTACTCTAGACACGACAAGAGACTACTGCTTCGAATTGAGCCGCTAGCTACTGCGCACCGAGAAGGGGTGACACTATTCAAAAGTTAGCATCTCTGCCTACACTTGACCAGCTGTATATCGCATCATTGGAGCTGGTTTATTCAACAATCAGTTACACAGTCTTGGTACTCCGAGGTCGGCAAGAAGGATCAAATATGGCCTAGTTGCTAGGTTTCGCCTCTCCACCATTACTACTACAGGGTGGGTCATTTAAAGTTGAAGAATTTGTTTATAAAAAAGTACATTAAAAAATATTTTTTTGTTGTTCATTGGAAAAGCCTTTTATTTTGATCTAAGGAGATTTGTTGTAATTACTTTTAAAAAATGATATCGCGCAAATGGCCACCTCTGGTCTTGATAACCAAATGTGCCCTTTTTTCGGCGTTTTCCATCACGTTGGCCAATGTTTCGGCGGATATGGTGGCAATTTCTTTACGCTTATTGTTCTTGAGGGTAGCTAAAGTCCGTGGATTGTTAGTGTATACCTTGGATTTCAAATAGCCCCACAAATAAAAGTCTGGTGGCGTCAAATCAGGTGATCTCGCCATTTTTCGATATGAGTCGTCCAGGGAACAATGGTGGTAAATTGATTGTTGCAGTAACCGTCCATGTCATTTTCACAAACAATTAGCCTCAAAAAATTTGTTGCCTCAATGTAACGAAAACTGTGCCTCGTCGGACATGATTTTTTGCCAAAAGTCATCTTCATTTTCGGCCATTTAAATGCTCCATTTAGCAAAACCAAAGCGACACGGATAATCAGCTGGATTCAATTGATGAGCGATTTGAATTTTGTATGGAAACATCTTCAAATCCTTACGAATTATGCGTCGGAGAGTGGTACGACCGATGTCTAACGCTTGAGAACGATGACGACCAGATGTTCATGGAGTCTCTTCAACACTGGCTCGTACTCGTACGTATTTTCATCGGAACGTCTTGTTCGTTGTCTGGACAGGTGACTGGCATTACTAAGACTACCGGTGCTCACAAATTTTGCGTATAAACGTCTGATAGTGTTATCAGCTGGAGCACTTTCAACTTTATTTTTTTACGAAACGTACGTTTAGTTTTCACGATTGAGAAGTTATTTTGAAGGTACAACTGAATAATTTCAGCGCGTTGTTCTGGTGTGTACTGTTCCATGGTTAAAATTGTACTGAAATGACGCTTCCAACACGGTATGACATTAAACGATCTGACAACTAATGTCAAAGATATAGGGTTGCTTGATGCTTCTACTTTAAATGGCCCACCTTGTATTTCTTTGTCACTGAGCATATTTTATACCAATGGGACAGCTTGGCTGTCCCTTGACGTCCGTCAGGTGATGGGTCAGAACACTTTTATAAATATATACAGAGTTCTATATTTAGCATGACTCACTCCAATTTTACTAGTTCCCCCGCTGAAGTGAAACCTGCTGTTAGAACAAGCTCCTTGATAATCGTAGACGGGTATTTTGACGTAAATTCTATCCTGAACCAAAGAGTCCATGATCGTGCCATCGATTTGCCCGAAAAACCTCCCAGTATGGTCGTTATTTTCGGAGATGATCACAAATCCATTATTGTCTAATACGTAACAATCTAACTTGTCACTTGCGCAGGTTTTCTTACAGCTATTAGGACCAGTACACTGAAACAAAATACAATGGTGCTTAAGCTTAAACCCTACTCTTTATATACGTAAATCATTACAGAAAGAAGTCTGATAATCTTGAAGCCAAAAAGTAAGGTCTGATGACTCGAACTTACTGACTGACAATCACAAATTATTTACATCTTTTGATATACTCGTATACAGTGTTTTTCAAAAAGCTCTTCTACCCCCAGTTCTTTTTTTTGAACATGTCAAGTCAGAAAGCTGAAATTTGGGATAACGAAATAAATGCATGAATTCTATACATCGTGTCCCGAAAAAAGTGTGCAATATTCTACCAGCGGTTTCTAGAGCTTAAAATAGGAAGAAAAGTTTATATAAATATAGGTCGACAAACGTCCCCTAAGGCCGCTACGGTCTTTTAAAGGGGCTCCCCTGAAGATGGTTTTTCCTTAATATTTCCGAAACGTGTTAAGATAAATACATAAAATTTGGTATTCTAGCCTAGTTTTTTATGAAGGATTTAGAAGTATTAACAATTTTAGACAGTTTTGTTTGGAAGCGTATGTAAAAGGAACGGACTCAGGTTATTTTAGCCCCAACATTTCTGGGTGATTCTATTTTTGAAATTCAATTTTAGAATTTGAAAATTTAGGGTATTCTACATAAAAAAGGTACTCTTATTGAATATCGATAAATTGTGCCATTTTTGGATAAAATCAAACTAAAAAATTTGTCACATGATAGGAAATATACTGCGAATTTAAATGAATTGTTGAATAATTAGCCATGGCAACGAAAAAACTAATTTAATAATTGGTAAATATTACATAAATACATATTACTATTGCAACATACCTAAAATTTAGGCAAAAACAAAAGAAATAAATTTTTTCTACGAACGAAATTGAAATTTGTTTAAAAAAGAAGACATACAGTTGGATATACTCAAAACTAGCTTTAAAATAAGTGTGCAAATAAATTCCTATTTTGTTGCCTGATGGATTCTTTGAAGTAAATCTTCTTGAGTATTTACTTCAGTCGAGTAAACTAGGTCTTTTAATGACCCCCAAAAATAGAAATCCAATGGATTTAGGTCAGGTGAATGTGGCGGCCACTCTATAGGACCTCCTCGGCCTAACCACCTGTCTGGGAAATTGACATTCAACCAATTTCGAACATTGCGTCCAAAATGTGCAGGGGTGCCATCATGTTGAAAAAACATATTTTCTTGAAACTGCTGGCGCACATCCAATGGTATTATATCCATGAGCTCATTCTGAAGAAAGTTCAGATACACCTCTGAATTCAGACGGTTGGGAAGTACAATAGGCCCAATTACTAGATCCCCAATTACTCCTGCCCATAAGTTCAATGAAAATCCATGTTGGAAATTTGTATGGCGAACAACTTTTGGATTTTCATCTGACCAGTGATGCATGTTATGGAAATTAAAAGTACCATTCCTACCAAATATTGACTTATCCGACCATAATATTCTAGGAATAGTGTTTTCATTTGCTAATATCCACTGGCAAAACTCGATTCGTGGTAAAAAATCTGCCTCCGTTAAATGCTGCACCCGTTTAAAATGATAAGGATGTAATCCTTGCATTCTTGTCATTCTTCCTATCTAAAATTATTATTTTTAGGATTACTATCAAATAGGTATTCACAAATTTTTCTTACTATTGATCGAGGTATATCCATAATTTCTGAAACATTTCGTATGCTTATTTGCGGATTATTTTCAAACATATTTAAAGCAATATCCATACGATGATTTCCCAGTGGCCTTCCTGAGCCCTGCATGCGCTGAAAACTTCCATGGTTTGACAAATTCCGGTGAATATCAGTAAACATTCGACGTCCAGGTAATATGCGATTGGGAAATCTTTGATATTCTCTTACGGCTGCCAATGAACTGCCATTGCAAAACCCGTACACAAAATGCATGTCAGTCAGTTCTCTGTCTGTAAATCTTGGCATTTTAAATCGATTTAATAAAAATTTTGATTTTAATCTAGTAGTTTTACACTGCTAACAATGTCAGCTTAACGTCAAAATAAGTCATAACAAATCAAAACAACTTTTGTTTGCAGTCATGGCTAACTATCTATAATCAACAATTCATTTAAATTCGCAGTACATCTCCTATCATGTGACAAATTTTTTAGTTTGATTTTATTCAAAAATTTCACAATTTATCGATATTTAATAAGAGTACCCTTTTATGTAGAAAACTCTAAATTTTCAAATTCTAAAATTGAATTTCAAAAATAGAATCACACAAAAATTTTGGGGCTAAAATAACCTGAGTCCGTCCCTGTTACATACGCTTCCAAACAAAACTGTCTAAAATTGTTAATATTTTTAAATCCAGCATAAAAAACTGGGCTAGCCAACCAAATTTTATGTCTTTATCTCAACACGTTTCGGAAATATTAAGGAAAAACCATCTTCAGGGGAGCCCCTTTAAAAGACCGTAGCGCCCTTAGGGGACGTTTGTCGACCTATGTTTATATAAACTTTTCTCCCTATTTTAAGCTCTAGAAACCGCTGGTAGAATATTGCACACTTTTTTCGGGACACCCTGTATTTGTGTACACGTAGCAGTTGAAAATACCAAAATAACTAAGGGGCGCCATCTTGAAAATTTTTTGAATGAAATGGTGGATCGTGTGTTACCCCATTTTGAGCTACCTATGTGTGTTTTATAACGTAAATAAATTTACCTTGGAAGTAATATTGTGAAAATGCGAGGCCAATGTGGCATGTTGATATTGCAATCCTACGACAGCTGCTGGTGCTCTGTGCCCCTTATGTTCGACGAAGACAGCATGAGTAGCGGTCACTAAGGGCTTTCCATATGACCCCACGTCAAATGGAACTGAATAAACGAAGCTTTCTGGTTCAATAGAATGTTGATCTACAGCTCGTTTGTACCAAGTTTCGTCCATCGCTCTGACATTATTCTCGCTGAAATGACTGTTAAAAGTCGGATCAGCACCCGTGAAAAGAAATATTTATATTCTTAAGATTAACATAGATATTATTTCGCGTTTTAGAGCTAGGCATGGATCCCATTCTGTGCTATACAGGGTGTCCCAGAAGTCGACGTCAAGCCGAAACCGGGTGATAGGCAAAGTCATAACAGCAATCAGAAAAATATTTAAAAAATTTGCATGTATGTGTTTTGAAAATTATAGGTCTTTGAAAAAGATATAGAAATTTCACACCCTACGGCAGTCTGTCAACTCCTGTTACTACAAATATTAACTTTTTTTGGACATTATTTTTACAATGTAATGATGAATAATGGATCTTCAAACTGGTGTCTCAACCTTACTGCCAAGTTTTCTCGTTTAGGAAAAATTGCCACTTATTTCCCAACCAAGTATTCCAAAGTAAAACTTTGCTCAACTTTAACTGGCTGTACTGGAAAAAAATGTACTACGAGAGTTTGGCAAGTAACCTTAAAAGTTGGCGCATTTAATAACGATTCCAAAATGGTATAACACTTAGAAGATTACTCGTTAACTTATGCACAACTTTTATTTGAAACAAAACCGATGAAAATTTTTCAAAATTTCCTAATTAAACAGCGATTATGAAAACGCACAAGGACCCTTAAGGATAACTGTTTGCACAACAGTGGGCGTCAAAATGCTGCTGATGATGATTTACCTTTACAGCAAATGCTCAAACTTGTTTCCTTCAGTCGCAATACACGCTCGACATCTTCTTAAAAAAGATCGGGTTATTAAACGAGCGAATCCACGGTTATTAACAAACTCAGCTGCCGTAGCTCAGCTACATTTTGAATCGGCTTGAAATACACTTTTTCTTTTACAGTTCCACAGTAAAAAAATCTAAAGGATTTAAATCAGGTGATCGGGCTGGCCACGGTATTGTACCAGACCGCCTTATCCATCTGCCTGGAAAGTTTTGATCGAGATACTCTCTCACTGTGAGTGCATAGTGCGCTGGGCAGCCATCATGCTGAAACCACATGTCCCTGTAAATACTCAGTGGCACGTCCACCAATAAATTTTGTACATGATTTTTCAAAAAATCCAAATAAACTTCAGCAGTCAAAGTCTCTGGGAACTCAAACGGACCGACTATTTTACCATTTAAAATTCCTGTCCAATGGTTTATCTTGAAGCGACATTTAGATTTATCTTCTCTCATCAAATGTGGGTTTGCTACGTGCCACTCGTGTAAGTTATGCAGGTTCATGTACCCATCTTTCTTAAATGTGGTCTCATCCGACCATAACATTTTTTCAAAGAACTGTGGCTCTTTCCTGTGTCTTTCTAACATTGTGCGACAAAAAGCAACTCGGGGCTCATAATCCCGGGGCAGGAGAGGTTGAACACGCTGTATGTGGTATGGATGAAGCACATCACTTACTTGCTATTGCACACTTTGATACCGATCAGTACTCCTTCGTCTACTGCGCATCTTTACATGTTCGTGCTTGTTGATTTCGCACTGTTACTAATTTTGGATTCGTGAACTGGACTGTTGATCGCTTGTGATTTGGATTTGGACTGTTTAATTGCTCTTCAAAACAACATTTGCTTTCCTTAGACTATCTTTGATAGTGTGATTGTGCAGTGCCGCTATGTCCGTGTACATCGTACAAGAATATGCTAACATGCACCTCATTTATGGGGAATGCAGATGCAACGCTAGTGCTGCAGCGAGACTTTACTGTGAGAGGTACCCGAATGCAGCTCGTCATCCAGATCATCGAGTGTTCACAAATGTGCACCGCTTACTGTTCTCAGAGGGCTAACTACTAAACCAATCACACGGTGAGGGAAGATCTTTCCTTCCTTACGAAGACGTGGTGCCAGGAGCTGTCGAAGAAGACCCGAGTACTTCAGTGCGTGCAATAGAACTAAAAACAGGTGTGCCCAAAAGTACAGCCCATAGAATCTTGCAAAAAAAACGTGCTCCATCCATACCACGTACAGCGTGTTCAAGCTCTTCTGCCCCGGGATTATGAGCCCCGAGTTGCTTTTTGTCGCACAATGTTAGGAATACACAGGGAACATCCACGGTTCTTTGAAAAAAATTTATGGTCAGATGAGACCACATTTAAGAAAGATGGGTACATGAACCTGCATAACTTACACGAGTGGCACGTAGCAAACCCACATTTGATGAGAGAAGATAAATCTCAATATCGCTTCAAGATAAACCATTGGACAGGAATTTTAAATGGTAAAATAATCGGTCCGTTTGAATTCCCAGAGACTTTGACTGCTGAGGTTTATTTAGGTTTTTTGCAAAATCATTTAGAAAATTTATTGGAGGACGTGCCACTGAGTATTTACAGGGACATGTGGTTTCAGCATGATGGTTGCCCAGCGCACTATGCACTCTCAGTGAGAGAGTATCTGGATCAAAACTTTCCAGGCAGATGGATAGGGCGGTCTGGTACAATACCGTGGCCAGCCCGCTCACCAGATTTGAATCCGTTATATTTTTTTTACTGGGGAACTGTAAAAGAAAAAGTGTATTTCAAGCCGATTCAAAATGTAGCTGAGCGACGGCAAAGACTATTGGAAGCAGCTGAGTTTGTTAATAACCGTGGATTCGCTCGTTTAATAACCCGATCTTTTTTAAGAAGATGTCGAGCCTGTATTGCGGCTGAAGGAAAACAGTTTGAGCATTTGCTGTAAAGCTAAATCATCATCAGCAGCATTTTGACGCCCACTGTTGTGCAAACAGTTATCCTTAAGGGTCCTTGTGCGTTTTCATAATCGCTGTTTAATTAGGAAATTTTGAAAAATTTTCATCAGTTTTTCTTCAAATAAAAATTGTGCATAAGTTAACGAGTAATCTTCTAAGTGTTATACCATTTTGGAATCCTTATTAAATGCGCCAACTTTTAAGGTTACTTGCCAAACTCTCGTAGTACATTTTTTTCCAGTACAGCCAGTTAAAGTTGAGCAAAGTTTTACTTTGGAATACTTGGTTGGGAAATAAGTGGCAATTTTTCCTGAACGAGAAAAGTTGGCAGTAAGGTTGAGACACCAGTTTGAAGATGCATTATTCATCATTACATTGTAAAAATAAAATCCAAAAAAAGTTAATATTTGTAGTAACAGGAGTTGACAGACTGTCGTAGGGTGTGAAATTTCTATATTTTTTTCAAAGACCTATAATTTCCAAAACACATACATAAATTTTTTTTTAAATATTTTTCTGATAGCTGTTATGACTTTGCCTATCACCCGGTTTCGGCTTGACGTCGACTTCTGGGACACCCTGTATATCGTAATGGCCATCCGCAGTATTTTATCTGTCCACAAAAAATTCGTTAGATTAAAGATGTTGGGGTGGGCCGGTGTGGAAAGGCAAGGGACGGTTCCTGCGAGAAAAATTATTCTGGAGGATTTTCTTCAAAATCTAAGAAGTTGGTTATTTATGCCTTACAGTGAACCCAAAAAAACAGTACCTTTTTAGGGTAAACGCATAATTCATGATTTGGATGAGATAATTACATCATAAATAGCGGGTACCAGAACTCCAGGATCTTGTATACAATTCGCTATGAAAAAGCCATAAAATATCTATATGGATATGTGGATAACAAGCCACTGCCTGGCAATTTCAATTGCTCTGAGCATTCTAGTGTCCTGGTGAAACAAGTTATATTTTACTAAGATCATGCTGTATCTTCTAGATCTTTATTATATCTTGCCTAAATTGTCTGAATACCACTAAGGCCCGTATCGTCTGTCGTCCCTACAATTGTAGGGCGCGTTTATGGCCTCCTTGATTGTCATACTCCTTTCTCTCCTTAAAAAATTTCTAGATTACATTTGTCCCGTGTCAGCGTCAGCGCTCTCCTATTGTAAAGATATGTTTTCTTTTTAAATTGTAGGAAATTTCAGGCTGATAAAACATGATATAACTCAAAAGCAAGCACAATTTGATGCAAATAGATGTTTGTGAGATAACCTCAAAATAGAGCGCTGACAGGGAGAAGTAGAAAACTATGACAATCAAGGAGGCCATAAAGGCGCGCTACAATTGTAGGGACAACTGACGATACGGGCCTAAGAGCTTGCCTAGGTTGGATACGACCAAGATATTGCCGCAACTGGTACGATCAAAGGATTTATCGGTCTTGTTTTCGTTAAAAATGTATCCCATCCACCTTGGTTTTTGATTCTTCCTCATAAGGGGTTGTTTATTTACTTCAAAGGGGAGACACAGTAATCAAGCCCAACTTAGTAGGTATCATTCTACACTGAGAAAACGTGGTCAATTAAACAGTCTTTCTGGAAAATTTTCGTTACCCGTATTATTTTTTTTTAATTACTCTAAGAAACTAAATTATTCGGTTTAATGAAATTTTCTGGAACCAGTTTAATTGAAACTAATATACTACGAGGGATGTCTTTTAAGTATTGCATATGGAAATAAAACAACACGGTAGGTACCATGACTTTATTGTTTTTCAAAGTATTCTCCACGAAGATTAATACACATCTGCATGCGCTCGAACCAATTTTCGAAGCACTTATTCCACTCGTTTGCTGGCAGATCCAAAAAAGCATTTTTGAATGCGTCAACTGCTTCTTCTGGAGACTGGAACCTTTGACCACGCAGTCTGTTTTTAATTTTCGGGAAAGTAAAGAAATCATTAGGACTTAGATCGGGACTATATGGATGATGGTCCAATAATTCCACGTTTTCTTCCGTTAAATACTGCCTTGTTTTTTGGGCTGTGTGCGAGCTTGCATTGTCTTGGTGGAGAATGATTCTTCTTTCGGGGTTGATTTTTCGAAGCTCGTTGATGGCTTTTGGCAAACAAATGGTGGTATACCAATCCGCAGTAACATTTCTTTGCTAATTAAGAGGAATTGTTGCAATATGACCCTCTTTTGACACAAATGTCGCGACCATCTTTTTCGAAACACTTCGAGAGCGGACTTTTGTTGGCTTTTCTTCACCTGGGAACACAAAACCAGCCGACTGTCGTTTATTTTCTGGTTCATAACAGTAAATCCACGATTCATCACCACTAACAATGCTTTACACATTTTTTGAGTTTCCGGAATTGAAACGGTCAAGCGTTTTTTGACACCAATTAACCCTGGCTGCTTTCTGCTCTTCAGTCAACAGGTGGGGTATGCAACGAGAAACTAATTTTCTTACTCCTAATTCTTCATGTAAAATTTTTTGAATTGAGGTCTTTGAGATCTTCAAGGACGCCTCAATCTCGCGATATGTCACATGTCTATCTTCAATGATGAGTTTGCGCACAGTATCGACGTTTTCCTGGGTGACTGCCGTTTTTGGTGCACCCACCCTGGGATCGTCGCTAAGACTCACCCGTCCAGGTTTGAATTCTCCATACCAACGGGAAATTGTCGACTGATGTTGCGCTTCGTTGCCGAAAACAGACAGTAACTCAGCAAGGCATTCTTGTTGCAATAATTGTCTCTGAAAGTTGTAATAAATTATGGCGCGAAAATGTTCTCGGTTGAGTTCCATTTTTCTAATGACTTGGTGACACTTAAAAATTCACTGTAGTGAGAACACTGCACGTATTGTTGTGAAACTTTGAATTTAAGTTTACTAAAAGGTGAGGTTAAGATTCGGTACTGACGTTCGATCCGCGCGGCCTACAATGTTTCTATATGCAAAACTTAAAAGACATCCGTCGTACTGTGGCAGTTCTTAAAATCACTTCAAATGCTTTATAATGTTATTGTCCCAGGAACATACAATAAAATGCTTTTTGTTTTTATCTCCCAAACGAAGCAAGATAGGAAAGAAACTCAAGCGACAAGTCAGTGGCACACACATCTTTTTGACAAAGGTATTTGTAGGGTGTTTTCCGGGACGCCACTGAACTTAATTTCAATCTAATTGGGGTTAAATTAGCCCCTTGCTAATACCACTGCTAAATTTGAACAAAATCGATTGAAAGTTTATCAAGATATTTAGGAAAAACCGATTTTTAAAAGAAAGTTTGACATCTTGAAAATGGAGCATTTCTGGACATATGTTTATATAAACTTTTCAACTTAAAATTACCCAAAGAATCACCTCCTGAAATGTGGTCACGTACTTGAATAACACCCTGTATGATTCTGAAGTTTTAAGGGCTAAGCAAACGCAAGGGTAAATTTTAGTGTCTAATAGGTGGAATGAATTGCCAGGGCTGGAAGAATGAAAATTGCCCCAAAAGGTATCCAAATCTGTATCGATCCAAACTAGGGTATTTTCTGTCAAATCACCTTGGCCAAATTTTCAGTACGTACATTTAAAACAAATAAACATATTAATAAAAACAGTTAAACAGTTTATTCTAATCGCTGACTGCAGGACTCGGCACTTTGTTCGTGAATGATCGGGAGTACGCGACAGACGTAGCGCCGATGAGGCACTTCGAACTCCTCAGCTTCATTTGTGATTTTCGCGAGGAGTTTCATACACGAATGTTGCCGTTGTGGGTGTATTAGGTGTTAAGTAGATCAATCGTGGTGATCAAGTGAAATAGTCAAGCATAACACTTTGAGTGACCTGTAAACATGGTTAGAATATTTCTTGCTACAAATGAAACACTGTGTATGGGGGAATCACTGCTGACGTGACGAGATTGGAAGAACTTTGAAATGTTATTTATGCAACCATATTTAGGTCGATGAAGGGCATTTATACCAAACTTGTATTTAAGACAGACTTGATGTGCTTTTCTTTTGTATTGTATAATGTATTATACAGGAAGTGTAGCCTCCTGCTAGTGTAGACTTTGTAATATTTCAAAAAAAACTGTCATATGTATTTACATATGTAAATGTTTTGAATGAGGGTGAGTGCAATCATGTTATATGATAAGAAACAAAAACACAATTTTTGTCCACAATAAAAGACTTGCTTCTGGTGAATTGTGAATTATTTTAACTTATTTCTGGGCAAATAGACAAAAAGTTGGTAAGACTTGATCCCATGTATAACGTTTTTGTTAGGGTTATAAAATTTGGAAGTTTTTATTTTGATTTGAAAACAACTATTAGGTTCTCCATTTTTTTGATCAGTGAAATGCAGTTTTGAATTACATATAAGTATTACATAAAAGATCCTTTCAAGTCTAAAAGAAACAATTCATTAAAGCTAGGCAAACACTTATACCTAAACTAATTATACAAATTTAATAAATATAATTAAATTGTTTTTATTTGGAGCAGGTTAGCTCATTTTGATAGTTCATTGAGTGTGAATGAATTGGTGCAATCAATCTAAGTAAGCGATTTAATTAAACCATTGCGTTTTTGTTTAATTAAACTAGTTTCATAGATTCAAGTAAACTGTTTTAGAATTCGCAGTTTAATTGAACTAATTAAACTAGTTAGCTATCACATAGTTAATTAAATTATTCAATTGGCCTAACTGAAATTTTAGTTGATTTGGTCATTTTTTTCCAGTGTAGAGGAAATAAAATATTAAAAATAATTTGTTGTGCTAGTGGTCCTAATATGTTACCCAGCCTTTCTATAGGGGCTGGTTCAGTTAGATACTTACCTGTGAAGAAATAAGTAACTGAGTTGAAGGATAGTAATGGCAAAGTGACAGTAAAGATATACGACTTGCAATAACAATTCTTTTTAGCCCTTTTTAATGTAATTAATTCATCCAAATCATAAGCTATGCTATTGTTTAAAAAGGGGACGATATGTCGGTCTCGCTGCTTAAGGCATAAATAGGCAACTTCTAAGCTTTCTGGACGCTTGCAATAAGATCATTTAATCAGCATTACTTTTTCCATTAGATTGCTATCCGGTCCATCTTGCGATGCATTTTTAGATTCATCGTTTCTGAAACATTTCTGAAACATCAAAACTGGTGGGTGTGCTACATGATACGAGGCGGTCAACTTTCAAGTGTTGACGTCTAAAGTTAAAAAACCAGTCATTCAAGTGGAGAAATATAAGGCTTAAGTCAATTAGGAATTCTGAAGGGCAGTTTGATGAATTTATAAATTGATTATGTAATTTCTTACATTTCCTAGATACGTTTCTTAGAGGTGACGTCTGGCAACTATGCATGCGCCGTCTGGAGTTACCGGATGGGCGTTATCGATTTTTAGGCCGAGTCTTGCATACGGGAATAGGCAAAAGTATCAGGGAATTTGTTGTAAAAAAATTGGTCGGATCCGATTGTCATAAGTTGGAATAATAGAAAGTGTACAAAACGGAAGCCCATTTTGCATTTGATTTTTTAATAATACGAAAAATAAGTAAAATCATGATGTAACACCTGAAACTTATCCTGTAGCTTTCATGCTGATAGAACACCATTATTTTCCGACTAAATGAAACCACATACATAATGTATAAATTAGTTTTTACTGACGTTTCAGCTATAGCACTCTGGAAAAGGCCGTCGTGGTGATAAATTTATAACATATTATGTACGTTTCATTTGGCCAGAAAGTTATAAGTTAAAATACGAGGGCGTGTCAATAAGTCCGTGACTGTTTGAATTAAATACGGCTTTATTGTCAAAAAAATAATTCTCAACATAGTCTCATTTGAGCTATACATGTGGTCCAATGTTTTTCCAATTTTTTTATCCCTTCTAAAAATAAGAGTTGTCGATGTATTGGTATTTGCATTTTAACATATTAGAGAGTCTTGACGATCACAAATACCGTTAATGATTACCTCTAATCATTTGAATCATTACGACATAATAATATGGCTCCATCTGTGTGTCCCAAAACTCTTTAATATATGGCATAAAGGATTATTTGCAAACTTCTGGTAGTAATAATGAAAATTTCAGCAATGCGCAAAAACTTTTTCCACATAATGCGCTTACGCTCCACTACGGCGTGGTAGATAAATAAGCTGCTATTCACACTTGGCACTAATTGAGTTCCAGGGAACGCAGAATCAATGAGACCAGGGAAAGAGGTCATTTTGTGTTGTGTTAAAGAAAAACTTCTATTGTACTGGGCGATTTTAGAAACAGTGGCATCACTTTCCTTATACCCTGGAAATACTGCCGCTGTTTTTGATTTAACCGACTGCACAAGAAACTAATTTGGTGAACTTACGGTTCGTTGCTCTTAAAATTGGTATGGTTTGTCCATCGTAGCAAACCGCTTCTTGTAGCTACGAATGTCAGCACAAGTCCAAATATTTCGTAGCCTTGCCTGTAAATAGGTTTCATATTAACATTTGCAAGCGATTTTTCCGAAAGCTTATATGGTAAAGTCAACCACTTAATTCATATTTGTTGGTATTAATAAAGTTTTTATAAATAATCAGTCTACATTTCTTCCATCAAACGAATTACTAAGAATAGCAAACCGTTTATTTAATAACTGAAATTCGTCATAATCTGTGTACATGACGGTCGGTCGGTAGGTCTGTCAGTCCGCTAATCTTTGCCCCGTCTATATTTGGGATTTTGATGAAATTTTCAGGCAATGGTAATGCTAAGCTTTGCAGTGTTTAAAGATCGTTTAGTGGCGGAGAACTGCAGGCGATAAAATGAAAATAAAAGTCCCCAAAATTCGTTTTTTGGCGACGTTACGGAGACTTCTGGTCATTTTTGACAATCCATTGCCCAATGCGAGGTAAGAAAGTGGGGAGTAGGGGGTTCTAGGTCCTAGGGGGGGGGGGCGGTGGAGTATCAAAATTTCAGGCTTAGGAATTAAACATTTTGTACGTATAAAGTGCCGCTATCCGCTGCCGGACGATGTTTTAGAGTCTCCTGATCCTTTCCAGAAAAAAGTGGGGGTTGAAAACTGAAGGTTCTGATCTCGGTAATACTATACAAATTCAAACGCTGATAAATAAGTTCCAATCACGCCAATTCATGGTCACACTTCTCAAGTTTCGCTCCCCTTCCCCCGTGTTATGACCGCTCAACCCCGCGGATGAAAATTGACCGGCCTTGACTGCAATAGTACGGGCAGGCCATGGGCGTGCGGCGTATATTTTACTACGCGTTAGCAGGAATTTCAGTAGCGGTCTCAGATATATTTGACCGTTGCTTTTGCTGTTTTGTATCACAAGTAAATTTAACGCAGCAGTGTTAAAAGCTCTGTTGAAACCTATAATTCAGGTTGTCAAGTGTCTACAAGATCCTTAATAGTATTCAAGGTTTAGTTTATTTTGGAGCAATTTTTAACCTTGCTTGTTAGGCTAACAATTGGTGTACATTCAAATTTGACTTGACATTGAATTGATGCGTAAGGCATTCTGTACGGGGGGTTTCCAACCCTTAACCCTAGCTCAAAATGATTCATGTTCTCCGTTTGTATGGAATTTGTTGATCAAATACTATTTATTATTAGTATATGTTCAGAACATAATGGGTAGGAATATTTTTGGAAACTCTTCTTGGGTACCAATGGGACTTTCTGGGAATAAAATGATACAATGCAAAAATGTTGTTTTACTTCTTTCTACTTTGGAGTCTTCTTACAACGACTAACATTTTGCTTTCCACTCTTGTGCAATCGCGAAACTCTGGAATTTTGTGAAAATACATTTATGATGTTTAAAATACTCTATCATTCGTTTCTGTCTATCAAACATCCCATCATTCTGTTTGTCTGTCGCCATTTTCTGTGACTGCGTAATGTCAGCAATAGCTGAACAGATTTTGATAAAACTTGGCGAGTAGATAAGGATAAGTCATTATTTTTTAAATCCATAGCTAATATTAGCATGGGGGTCAAATCATGTTTCATGGTGTAAGTTAGTAGACCTGTTCAGTTTAATATGAATTCTGAAATATTCGAAGCAACATAAATGTGAAATCAGTCAGGAACAGCGATACCTACCCCTCCTTGTGGCAGCATATTATGATTAGTACAGAATATGTTGCTGTGTGTGCGCTCGCAGGGGCTGTTGGCCGTCATCTTCTGCATAATTTAACATGATTTTGTATAAGATATTGGGGATTTTCAGGATCCCCCAGACATTTGGTATGCACCGTTCAGAAGAATTGAATCTTGTCGATGATCGGTCCTTGAAAAAAACTCCTGCGAGCGCTCATATACCGCTGGATAATTCTTTCGTTTGAGTATATGCAGTTGTTAAATGTGATGTTATCATAGACCGTGCATCTACAAGGTCAATTTTTAGTGTGAGTCGGTCAATAGCCCCGTTATTATAAAAGGTATCTAAAAAGATAGTTATAAAAGTAGTAGGCAACTATATGCTTCTTACAAGTACTTGGAAAATATGCCATTCTTTGCAGGGTGATTCATAAGTTCATTTTTTTTTTTGGAATACCCTTTATACAGGGTGGAACAGAAAGACGTAGGAATTTCAGAACTGCATTGCTCGTGACAGGTATGCAGGAGCGGGACAGTGGTCAGGGGTAGTGAGGATAGGTAGCATTGGTGCTCGGAAATTTAGTCACCATGGAGCGTTTCACTGCTGAGCGGCTTGCGTTCTGTGTTAAATCTTATTACAAAAATGTAGATTCGTGCTCTATCGCGCGGCGCCTGTTTCGCTCTTTAGTTTACATGATCTAAATCAATGTCATAGTGAAAGTGTGATCAGGTCATAAAGTTCGAGTCTACCGGTTCAACACTGAATCAGAAACCTGCGGGGCGACCAAGGTCAATACGAACAGAGGAAACTGTAGGCGAAGTTGCGACGTCCATATGGCGCGATCCACAGTTATCGTCGAAGAGATCGGCTCAGCTCACCATAACAAGAACATCTGTAAGGCGTATTTTGGTAAAGACCTTAAATTTTACCCGCATAAACTTCAACTGGTGCGTTTGTCGAAACAATGAGAGCGCTTGCCAAGTTTGAGCAACATTCTCTTTTCTGATGAAGCTCATTTTCATTTGAGTGGATTTGTCAGCAAGCAAACTTACCGATATTGGGCCGCAGAAAATCCCAAATTAAAACACCAACGATCCTTGCATTCGCGTTATGTTAGTTTGGATGGCCATGTCGGCTAAAGAAATCATCGGATTTGTCTACTTTTTAAAAAATATATATTATCTTCGCTACGCTTTTTAGTTTTTTTCTATGACTTCTTATAATCCGCCTAACTTAATGGCCCACCCTGTATTTTAGTAAATTCTAAAAGGTCTTTTAAGAGAAAGAAGTTTGTTATAGGGTTTAGGGTCTGGTTTGTTACTTCTAGAGTTACGAGATATTTTGTCCGAACACAACACTCAACTTTAAAGCTTGTAGATCCAAAAGCAAAATGTTTGTCAAAGTTTCATTTCACGTTATTTAAACGTTATTTGCATTTTGCATGTCGTCTATACAGGGTTTTTCTGAGCGCAAAATGTAAATCTAAATACCGTATATTTTTACAGTCTTACGATTTATGAGCTTTATTTTCGTATGCTTGGGAGGTTGATTTACTTAATTTTTGAATGACTTGCACTTTGTTGGAAACCACAATTCAAAATAAATAAATACCACATGATTTCTGAAAAAGGGTAATTTTTTAGTAGGCCGGAAATAATTTCAATATAGGCTTGAGAAGATCAAACGGAAGATTTAAGCAACGTTAACTGTTGAATCAAATTAAAACAGACCCACATACTGAGGAATTCAAATACCAATGGCATTATTGACAGAGCATAAAGTACACCGAAAAATAACACAACATGATAGACGGTTTATGTAAAATTTGATATATTAATTCAGAACGCAATAGATGTTTCAGGAAAGTCAGTGACGTTTGTTTTATCTTCTGTAGGGGTCCAAGTATTCCAATTTTTACGCCACTGACGTAGTGAGAGCTGCAAACGTTTTTGTATATTTTGCCTATGCGGTATGTTCTGCAAATATTAAATTAACTTGCCGTATTATGTTTGGAATTACAGTCTGCCCTGAAAATATTGCCATCACCCTACTTAAACTAGTTTTTTAGATCATACCACCACAGCTTCTAGGAGCTGAATAATCAATGTAGGTCTTGATATTTGATTCAACCAATATAGAAATATCAAATAGTGTAACTACATACATATACTTAGTCATTACACTAAGAAACAGTTTGTCATACTCATAACTACTGATTGACATATTCTTGGAGAATTCGTTAAGAAATTATATAACCTAGTAAATATGTAGAAAAACATTGCTTTTGCATAATACTGGTTCTTAGTGTAATCACTTCCGATACAAGAACTAGAAAACTATAAAACGAAACGATTCTTTCGAAGAAAAATCTTTACCTTTGCAACTGTATCAAAAGCGTGCCAATAGGGCTAATGTGCAAAAAATAGTTGATTAAATTGGTGATCATCATATACATATATTGTGAAAACACATACATAGTGCAGTGAACTTATTGTCATGAAGCGTGCATACTATTGAAAGTAACACTTACTGCTTGTCTTCCAATCTAGGTCTGAATGGGTGCTTTTCTAAGCTTTCTGTTACCATAGAGTCCAGAACTAGAGATTGTATTAGTGTTTTATCACCTGCAAAAGAACGTAGTGAAAATAATGGGTGTTCGTGAAGATGGGACTCTACGCAGTGAATAAATCTTGTAAAAAAGGATTATTTTATAGCAATTATGCATTTAGGGTAAATTTCGGTGAATTGTAACATTGGGCATATTTTATAAAGGTAAGGTTGTTTTACATGCTTCTATTAAAACGTACAACAAAAAATATATGTAAATACTGACAGCTTAGGATAAAAAGTTTTTAAAAGTGTTACAAACAGCACACTTCTTCGAACGGGTTCGTTAAGTTGTACCACGCGGTTTCTAAGTTGTACCTTACCAAATTATATTTTAATTGTTAGTGGAACAGATATGTAAAGCAAAATATTGTAACGAAAACACCGTGTTTACTTCAAAAGTCTGATTTATTACTCTTACTCTGATTTATAACAAATAATTTATGAAAAATTTATAACCATGTCGACTGGACTATATAATGAAGACTTATCGGTTGCTGTCAGTTGACTGGTGAAGGCACCTGGGTACTTATTCGAAATTGGATAATTCCGGAGCATTCCCGCGCTTTATTGCAGCTCTAGACATCCAGACGACGTCGATTAATAGGTACTTCTCGAATGCTCCCGATGTCGGTCGATAATTCGATGATGGCGCAAGCTATACCGCTCTTGATGCATGGCGGCGTAGCTCCGGCTTTCTTCCTTCTTTTTCTTCCTACTTTATTAATTCAATGCCTGTTTTACTTCGGTTTTTAGCCTCAATTGATGTTGTCTGACCATCTTTTCCTCGGTCGTTCCATTGATCTTCTTCCATTTGGCGATTTGTCTCTTGCTATTCGTACTGTTCTATTTTCTGTTTTTCTTTCTAAGTGTTGATTTCATTCTATTTTTCTTCTCTGGGTCCACAGGTTTATTTCCTCTATACCACATCTCGCTCGTATTTCCTCACTTCTTACTCTGTCTCTTAGAGTTCAGTTTGTTATTTTTCGTAAGACTTTCATTTCTGCTGTTTCCAATAATCTTTGTGTTTTCGCCGTATCTGCTATTGTTTCCGCTGTGTACGTGATTATTGGTCCTATTGTTGATTTATATATCCTAGTTTTCGTTTCCGTTGTGAGGTACTTGTTTCTCCAGATTGTATTGTTGAGACATCCTGCTGCTCTGTCCTCCATGTTCATGTTCACTTGTTTTTGTACTTCTTCTTCCACTTTTCCATAGCTTGACTGTTTGATTCCTACGTATTCCGTTTCCATCACTTGTTCTATTATTTTGTTATTCACGACCAGTTTACATCGTCTCGGTTCCGCTGATATTACTATCGATTTAGTTTTCTCGGTTGAAATCACCATGTTGTATATGAGCGCCGTATCTTCGAATTCTTTAATTAATCTTTGTAGGTCATCTTCATTTTCGGCTATTATTATGGCGTCGTCGGCGTAGCATATTATCTGCATTTCCTTTTCTCCCATTCTATATCCTCTTCTTTTTTTAACTTTCTTTATGATTCCATCCATTATCAGATTAAATATTAGTGGGCTCAGCGAATCTCCTTGTCTAATGCCAGTTTCATACTTGATAGGTTGCGAGACTTTTCCTTTACATCTTACCAGAGCTATGTTATCTTTATATATATTCTCAATAGTTTTTACTAAATCCAGTGGTATTCCCCTGTCATATAATTAATGTATCGCGTCCCGAATTCTCACTCCATCAAACGCTTTCTTCAAATCTGTCCAGCGACTTTACATTTATTTGTCTTATTACAAAAACTGCATCCATGCATGATCGTCCTGTCCCGAATCCTTGCTGTTCCTCTTGCAGAGTTATTCGTTCGTTTATTTTTGTCGCTATTATTCTTGTTGTCAATTTGAGTGTTGTATTTAACAGATTTATTGCTAGATAATTATTGAGGTCTTTCTTATCTCCGTTCTTGAAGAACATCAGCATGATCGCTCTCTCCCATTCATATGGTATTTTGTTCGTGGTGATTATTTTTGGAATAAGGAGATGCAGTTGCTGTAGAAGGTAATCACCTCCATATTTTAAGAGTTCATTTGGTATTTGATCTTCTCCTGGTGACTTTCTATTTTTTAATTTATTTATTCCTTGTTTCACATCTTCTTGGGAGATTTCGGTCTTTTCATCAGATATTATATTTGGCGTTTCTGGTAAAGATTCTTCATTTTCTTTTCTAAACATTTCTGTCAGGAAGGCCACCCATGTATCCGCTTTTATGTGTTCTATTTCAACTAGTTCTGTCATTTCGCTTCTTTGTTGTCTTATGATGCGCCATACTTATTTCTGTTGTCCGTAGAAATCCATCTCTAGTCCTTTTGTGAATCTTTCCCAGTAATCTGTTTTTGTTTCTCTTACCAATTGATGAGTTTCAGTTCTTATTCTTTTATATCCTTCGTATGATTCATTGGTTTTATCTGACTTATATTTTAGGAAAGCTTTCTTTTTTTGGTGGTGGTTCTAAGCGTTAATATTAGTGTTGTTGATTCTCGTAACTTTTGAGTATTCGTTACTAATCGTTACCCTTCTACAAAGTAATCATTTATTGTATCCGTTACTTTGATTACTATGAGAAGTATGAGTATAACTATTTGACAACGAACGAAATTTGTACTTTGATCAGTCCTAGACTGTTTGCTGGTCCATGTTGCAGTAAGTGTAATTTGTTGTTTCCTATTTTGTAACTTATGCAATTTTTTTAACTGCAAATAAACGCTATTATTATTATTATTATCATTAATTAATGTCGAATTTTAACAATTTCAATGGAACCGACTATATTATCTTGTAAGAAAATAGACAACCTTAAAATTTGCAAAATTTTATCAAGCATAGTTTATTCAAATCTGCCGTGTGCAAACATCGTATCTTTGAACTTTATGCAAAACGAGATGGCTTCATGTCATAGGACACATATGAGCCTAAAAACTGAAAATACTTTGTATTTACTAGACAAGTTAGTAGTACAAATTGATGAAAATAAAAAAAAATCACGATTAAATCGAAGAAAATTGGATTTTGGGATTTTTTTAAAACACCGCTGCAACACCGTTTTGGTCAGATATGTTTTGGTCAGATATGTTTTGGCGCCAGGCATGGAACAGGCTAACTACATTGCTTTATAAATCTACAATGCAGTAAATAGCGAGGTGTTACTATTTAAAAACCGTTACAATATACCCGCCTTTCCCCTACATCGATCTTAGGAACATCTGCGATGTCAAACCGTCCGTATCGTTAGCAAAGGATTGAGATAAAATACATGCATCAGTACCCGAGCTATTTGTTTATACATTGGGCTTAAAATCATAAATAGCATATTCCTATACCAATAACAAACTAGTAGTCTTCAAATTGAGGAAAAAAATTAACAAAAGTCTTGTTCCTATAAAGACGTGACTTTGTCTCTAAAGTACGCCACTGGGAATATTATTCTGTTGTTCTATATGAATTCAAGATATCGCCCGTATATTCTAGGTTACAAAGAAAACTGAAAGAAATGTTCTCTTTTGGTAGGAATAAAGATATAGACTTACAGTAATAGGCATCCTTATCTTGCTTCGAAGATAAGTGATGGTGTTCTCTGAGCAAGGTTAACCTTGGCCGCAGAGACATCCATTTCCATCCAGGTCTTCTACTTCTAGACAAAAAATGCAACACTCTTTCTTCAGCGGTTTTGAACCACTGTTCTCCAGAGGTACCACTGGTGTATTCACAATAAACCCTAAGAAAAATCAAATCTTAGACGAAGTTTCCTAAGATTTCATAAATTACTCACCAGTCAGGGTGAACCCTCCAGTTGTTACCCTTGAAGTAGTCAGTCACTGAAAAGAATATTAAATGAAAATAATGTGCAAGAAGAAACTAATCCAGGGTATCTTATTGAACAATGCTGTAGTCAAGTGCCGAAACGACCATAACGCATTGTGCGCCACTGGTCATTGTTAACGCGGAGTACAGGATATCTCGCACATGTACACAAAGACACACTGCGTCAGCAGTGGCGTACCACGTGTCCCGCATTTTGGTACTTGACGATATCCGTCGTGATAGACAGAGATAACAGTTACATAATATCTCCTTATACTTCTTGAATTTGAATGTATAGTGAAGTTACATAGTATTATACTACAAATTACCATTTTTCTGACTGTGCTTGATTTCTTGTTCAGCGGAAAGCTCATACATTCCGTATCCTTCTGGTATGGCAAGACCTAGAGAAAAAGGTGTTCCTTCTATGGGGTTATAGAAATACTTATTTCTTCTTGTAGTTACACGTCTCTGAAATATAAAATCATAAATGCAATGTAATAATCTCAGATTGGTGTTGACTTACCATATGGTCATAGTGAACTTTTACACTCAGCTCTGTTTCGCCCTCTTTTTGGTCGATCATGTCATGTCTCAGCTGAAATAAAATCATAATAAACGACTCCCCCAAAAATATTTACTTTGTGCATAGGCGTTTAACCAAATCATATGGATAAAGAAAATGGCACCACTGTCACATGTACTTTACAGCTGCTCTGCCACTGCTCAGATCAAACGACTTGACATGGAAACCTAAATTTTGCTATAAAGGCTAATTTTCGGTTGTAAAAGCGACATAACGTAATCGGATAAAAAGGCGTTAGACGTACAGTGTTGCCATTATTTGACGATTAGTTCAATGTTGTAGTAAGTAATCTTCTGATGACAGAGAATATTACTTACATCGAGTAGGACTGTGTGATTTTCCCTAGGACCATTTTCATGTTCTACCAGTTCAACTTCTGTTAAATCAACAGTTACGTATTTGGATTTCAGCTCGTTATCATAATAGTCACCGGTTTCCTGAAAGAGACCAAATATAATTTGAAAATACATAAACACCATTGAAGGTACGAATAAAATTGAATATAGCTCTGGATATAATATAGGGTGTCCTGAAATTTGGGACTTTCCTTGTAAGAAACAACTACGCTTGGAATATCGAAGCTCATGTATGGCACTGACCATAAGTTCTGTTCGCAGTTGTCGTAAAATGTTTCGTAGAAAAACCAGGCATTGTAAACCGTCCAGCCGACTCGGGAAAATAAAAGATCCCATAACCATACCATTTACCAATGCAGGCCAAATATTCTAATATGAACTTCAACTTCAACTCATTATTATTTTCATGTTGTCGCAACAACTACTCACAAAAACGTACTCGCAGGAAAATCCTCAGATTGTACAAAATGGTACAATCCATCATCACGGAGCGCTTGCCATACTTTAGTCTTGGAGACTTGTCAAGCTACTTCCCTAGGGCTTGTTGAAGTATTTTCTTCTACAAGATTCAATACTCCTTCCTCAGGTTGCACCATTCGGGATTATCTATGTCTCCCACACCAATCATAACCTCTGGGAAAGCGATCTGCATGCGCTCGCGAACCCTCGGTAGCATATTGAAAACACTCACCTTAAATAAATGCTTTGAGTACTGACCTGCCTTCTCACTTTTGACCTGATCGAGATACATGGGCGGATTCGGTTTTGTTTAGGATTTAGATTTTGTGTATCTCGGTTATCTTGGGACTTTGGTGTATATGCTACTAGAAAAAACGCACATTTTTCAAGATCTATATGCCGTGTAAAGGAAAGTCCCAACTTTGCGGACACCTTGTATTCATAAATTGACTTACCAGAGGTCTTAAGTCCGGATGACACAGAACATGGCCATTATTGTTCACTATGAAAGAGTATCCATTTACACCAAGCTAAAACATCAAATACGTTTTATTTATATTGAGAGTTCCAGTAAAGTTTTTTTGAAACTTACAATTCATCAATATAAGTTATATTATTATTAGGCTTGGACATACCTTATATGGTGGAATAAGTTTTTTGATCTGGTCAATGGACACATCTGTACCTACGACTCCCAAAAGATTGGCAGCACGTACCTAAAAAACAGTGATTATCAAATTAAACCTTCCATATTTTTTTATGAACTTCGTTTCTTCTGATATTTATATTTCTCTTTGCAGATAAACAAAGGTCCAGACAAGATGACTAGACAGAGGAAAAACACTCGAAATAATATTACTTTTATCGAAATTTAAGATTTTTTAAAATGATCCATTCTAATGTTTAAGGTAACCTTGATGTGACCTTGGAGTTTGCTTACCGAATAATTTTGCCTGTCAAATACAGGAGTAGTTACTGTAGTCATCAGTTGTCCATGCTTGTCATCTGAGAAACTGTCAGCCTGAAATGATGATACTTAGTGAAAGCTATCAAATATAGTCTATTTTGCAATTTTCAAATTTTTTGATTACTTACCCTGCCTCCAACATATGCTGGCGACCAAAATATGGGATGATCATTTTGATACATCACCATAGGTCTAGCCATAACTTCTATGTAATGTAGGACTTTTTCCTTTATTGTATCGTAGTTGTCAATACGAGTATAGTATCCTGAAATTAAGAACCATGTCACTAATTAAATTAATTATTTCAAAATCCTCGTAAGTCATAAAATTCGAATTATTCAAGAATTTAAAAGACTTTTGTGGGTTTAATACTGAATTCGGGATTTGAAATTGACATGCCGAATAACATTCACAGCTTATCAATAATAATAACTAAAAAGACCTGACAGGCAGTTTCAACAGCACGTGGAAAAAATATGGCTCATGTCGTTTTTGAAGTGACCGATTGAATTAAAAGCTGTTATACAATGAGAATAATGTTGTATCTGCCTCCTGAACTAATTCTATACAGGGTGGCACATCGAAAACGAAACAGACGCATTTACTGGCAGCTCAGTTTTTTTTTGAAAAACGCTCAGACACGTCGATTTTGTTTTCGAGGGGGACACAAGTTTGGCAAAAAATCACGTTAGCACGTGCAGCCCCATAAGCGGGGGTGACACTACCCCCAAAATCTTAAATGGAAAGAGGGGTCGAGTGATACCTTATTTTAAAGGTCTTTCAATTCCCTTTATAATGATATAAAATTGATGTATTTTTGAAGATTTATTGATTTATAGCTTAAATGAAACTGATACATCATCATTAGTGGAGATCAATACATTTGGCAACAAAGTAATTTAAAAATGAAGAATGAACTGACGCGTTAGGCAAGTAAATGCTGAAAATGGCTACCATGACTCTCCATGCAATAATAAAGATTTTGCTCAAAACGTTGCCGCAAATTTTGCAATATTTGAGGAGTAATTTGAAGGCACTCATTCACAATTCTTTGTCGCAGGTCTTCTAATGATGTTGGCTGAGTAGCATAGATTTTGCTTTTTAAATGACCAAACATAAAGAAATCCAAAGGTGATAAATCTGGCGATCTTGGGGGCCATTCAATGGCACCTCTTCTACCAATCCATCGATCTGGAAACGTCTGATCTAAATATTGTCGAACACGTAATGCGTAATGTGGTGGGGCACCATCCTGTTGGAACATCAACCTATTCGCAATGTACCGCCGATCATTCTGATTTGCAATTATGGCTGTTAATGCAGGATCTTTGGCGTCTTCCAGTAATTCCAAATACATTTCAGCGGTCAAATTTCCAGGTAAGAAAAAAGGACCAACTAAATGATGGCCAAAAATACCAGCCCAAACATTTAATTTTTGTGGCTGCTGTGTATGAATCTCATGATAAATTCTGGGATTAGAATTGGACCAATATCGGCAGTTATGACGATTTACTACGCCATTTAAGAAAAAGGAACATTCGTCGGAAAAGCAAGTGTCGAATAGAAAATGTTCATCGTTTATAATTCGTTCACTCATATCTTCACAAAATTGTAATCGCCGATCAAAATCGTCTTCATTAATTTCTTGTACCAGGTGAATTTTATACGGATGAAAACTATGGGCCTTTAGAATCCGTTGGACAGTACGTCGACTAACACCACACACAGGCTCCAATTTGCGGGTACTTAACGTAGGATCTACATAAACTTGCCCTAAAACCCCCACTTCTATTGCTTCGTTCCTTATGGGATTTTCAATGTTGCGTTTTTTATTGGCGACTGACCCAGTTTCCCGAAATTTAGCTACAAGTTCTAGAACATATTTTCGATGCACGTTACTGTTATCATGCCGCTCATTAAATATTTCTGCTGTTCGATTAGCGCACTGATTATTTCCGAAAAATATTTCGATAATTTCAACTCTTGCTGCTATGGAATATACCATGGTTAATTTATGTAATAAAGCGTTACAAGTTATTTTAGCAACAAAGTTTGGTCAAATCAATCCCAAACTATGTAATAAATTCATATTTAAAATAAGTACGAGATATTTCCTTATCTTTCTTCAAGAAATAACTTTTTTGCCACCAAAAAACGCTCCAATAGCTATTTCCAACAACAAAATGATAAACAAACCATGGGCGTAGTGAAGAAAAGCATTTACTTATTAAGTAAATTCTTTTAGTCAAATTTCTTCTGAAAGTAGTACAAACTATATACAAACTAATCTGATGTACCTTAAAGTCTACTTTAAGCTTTAAATCAATAAATCTTCAAAACTACTGAACTGAAGTACATTAATTTTATATCGTTATAAAGAGAATTGAAAGACCTTTAAAATAAGGTATCACTCGACCCCCCTTTCCATTTAAGATTTTAGGGTTGGTGTCACCCCCGCCCAGGGAGCTGCACGTGTTAACGTGATTTTTTGCCAAACTTGTGTCCTCCTCTTAAATAAAATCGACGGGTTTGAGCGTTTTTCAAAGAAAAACTAAGCTGCCAGTAAATGCGTCTGTTTCGTTTTCGATGCGCCACCCTGTATATCAGCATAAATCGGAGCACTGGTTCGATGCAGAATATTCAGGGGCGTGTTTTGATACAGAGGTACAGGGGTCGATGCATACATCGAATCTGATGGCCAGTGTTGCCGTCTACAACCCTGTGATGGTTCAGCTGTGTAAAATTAATGACAACATAATATAATAGTTTAGTTATTACAGTATAAGTTACTTATGTGATATGATTTTACCTTTGTGCGCACATGCCATCCAATGCATTTCTGCAGCCCCACTTGAATCCTTACCGATGAGGTAAGTGAATAGTCTGACTGGACTATGAGGAAAATTGTATTGCTTGAAGATTTCTTTGTATGTAGAAGGTGGGCCGTCTGTGATAAGCATTATCGCCTGGTTACATTGACAACCTTGTCCCGATCTATTATACTGCAACGGAGAGCTCATTAGTGAAATAGTTATATAAATTGTAGAGATGCCACGAATACTCGGTTACCACTTTTTTAATATTCGGCAGTAATGCATGATATTAAATTCCTTTTAGCATTTATTCGTAGTCACCGATTCCGATTTTCCTCATGACGAACATTCGCTTTCTGACAGGGGAAAGCTTTTATAGCCACTCTCAGACAGAGAAGCTCGACAGTATTGCGCTGTCGGTCTTTTCTGCCTGAGGTATGAGATTTTCCAGAACACACTACCCACCGGGATTTTGTCGTAGTGGGCAGCGTCGCGTAATAATTTTATTACCAGGTATTTAGTTATCTCTTTCAGCGCCGTGCGTATACATATAGTGTTCATTTGAAAACTTCCCACTGCGGATTCAAAGAAAACCACTGATTCACAGAAAAAACGCCAAGACAAGTCAGAAGATTTGTCAAGGGGGACAACTTTTTAACCAAGAACTACTTCACTCCATTTCACCCTCTGCCTTTCAGGGTGATCCCCTTAAAAAAATGACAAGGGGTATCGAGTAATAGCTTCTTTGAAATGTCTTTCGAAAACCTTTAAGAAAATCATTATTTATCTTAATTTGTTTAGATAGTAAACAAAAACACACGAAAATATCACTTTTTATATCAATAAGTACTCAAAATGTTGTCCGTTATTGGCCAAATAATGATATAGGCTATGTTTAAATTCCTGACGGACATTTTCAAAAACATGTTGTGGGATATCATGGCAGCTTTCGATGATGCGTAGACAAAGTTCAACTTTCAGGTTGAGGAGTAAACACAATGGATTTCAAATGGCCCCATAGAAAAAGGTCTAACGGCGTCAAATCAGGAGATAATAATAATAATAATAATATTTATTACCCTCATTAAACAATATATACAAAGTTTACAAACAAAAAAAAGCCTTAAGAGGATAAAGGGCTACATCAGCTTGCCCCTTAAAGAAGCAGCTGCTAGAGCCAAAAAAAACAAACAAATTTAAACAATTCTATAGTAAGACAAATGGCTATCAAGACATTAATAATTAATAATGTTTTAAACTTAAGAAATATAGCGAAGTATAGTAAGTAGAGAAATGGAAAATTAAAGAGTGAGAAGAGAAAGCGAGGGGAAAGAGAAGAAGATAATAGGGGGAGCAGGAGATGTGTTTTCTATGATATTCAAATTCAAATTCAAATTCAAAATATTTATTTCGTCATGAATAAACATCATAAACAGAAGAAATTCTATATATAGAGTAATGACGAAAAAGGACAGTCTCTCGATTATAAAACCGATACATTGGACCCTTTAATACAAAGAGTCCATGCGAGAAAGCCCTGAATACCCTAAAAGTTCTTAAACAAAATAAAAAATACAATAAAGAGGCAAATGAAGAGGCGGTGAAACACAAAAAAGGCAAAAACGAAGAGAGAACCCCCGGGAGCTGGCAACGGACGCGAAAAACAAAACTATACAACCTGTCTGAGACAGTAAATCACTTTTAAGGTTCCTCTTAAATGAAGCTACCGAGAGAGAAAAATCTTTAATTTTGAATTTATTTACCAAAAAGGCAATTTGATATGAGAATGATTTCTTAAATGATTCTTTATTGTGTGATGGTATTGTAATCAAATTCAATCTTCTAATGTTTAGATTATGTACATCAGTGGCCCAAAGGATTTTCGACCGATTACTCTTTCATCTTTTGTGCTTAAGACACTGGAAAGGATAGTTGATAGATACTTAAGGGATGGCCCGCTGGAAAGGTGTGTCATTCTTGCAAATCAGTTTGCATACCAAGCTGGAAAATCGACTGATCTGGCCTTACACAATCTGGTCGGTAGGCTGGAGAAGACTCTAGATCAGCGAGAAGTGGCACTCGTGGCCTTCTTGGACATTGAAGGTGCATTTAATTGCACCACAACCGACTCTATCAGACAGGCCTTGGTTAGACATGGGGTTGGATCAATCCTAATAGATTGGGTCCTCTCTACTCTGGAGGGTCGGGTAACAACAGCTAT